AAAGTTTTACTTATTTGCATATTAAGTGTATCAATTATTTCATTTTTATTTTAGAGTGGAGAAAGGAGGAAATGAAAAAAGTAGAAAACAAGAATTAAGAGGTTGTATTATCTAAGGGTTTATCTAATCTATATTCTTTAGGCATTAGTTATAGGTATATTTATATCTACCTTATATGAAAATCTTACTAGAGTTAAAATCATGATTAAGATTTTTAAAAAGGAGATATTTGGAGATTCAAAAATATTTAGGTAAGTCATCCACATTAGCATCAGGGGCATACCAATCTAAAATAAGACTTTGCACTTTTTCTTGTAATTTCATCTACCTCTTTTTCCCTCAATTAAATTTTTTCTCTCCCCTAAACACCCTTGATTCTCTTGTTGATATCGAACCAACATATCTTTAGTTTCTAATTTCCTCATTCCCTACTTCCTCCACTTTAAAAAAGGGGATTGATGAAAATATGAATATCCTTTCTCTGTATAAAGTATTTTTTACATCTTTGGTTGAGCTTAAAATTAATTGAAAATTGTTTAATTCTTTTAATAGTTACAACCTTTTCACATTAACTTGCATGTATCTCAAAATTAAAGAATAATTTTATAAACAAGACCCTCTTTTTGGCTTACGGCTTTGTGTAATGCAAAAGGGTGAGTCCACCATTAAAGGTGGTTAGTTCCCAAAAACATAGTCATTCCCCAATGGGACATTCTTTTCTCATTTAGTCTAGGGTTTTGGTGTAAGGCATTGGAGGTCTGCATGGCAATGTCACAAAGTTCTGATCTTGGTGTGCTAGGGAGTGGAGCTAGGGCTATTGTTGGTGCAAACCTATGCTTACTAGTGCTCAAATGATGGAGGGTTAGGTTGGTTGTCCATTGGAGGTTGGTAACTAGATCATTGAAATGGAAGCAAGAGCGGCACAAGTCCCCCCCTTGGATTGGAGGTAGATAGGGGCACTAGCTTTAATCTCCCAAAGATTTGTGTGCAAAATCCCTAATGATATGTTTCATTTGAAAGAAATGGAGGGGAGGTGAGGGGAAGGGAAGGATGGATTTTTTTTATCAATCAAATTATAATCTCCTATAATAAATTACATATCATAAATTAAATGATATGTAATTTATAACTATGACCATTTTATTTATAGACTTTATAAACCAACATCCTAAATTATTAATGGTATTGTCATTCATAAAAAGAGAAAGGGAGAACAATTTAAGAGCAAACCTCCATTTAAAAATTGTCTTAACATCTCTCTAAATTTGAATAGCTTTAAGTTTCAAGTGGAAATTTCAAATGGTTAAAAATTTGAAATCTAAGTTAATGATTTGATATCAAATCTTAAGAGATGTGAAAAAATTAAAGAAATATAAAACCTATTTTCTATTATATAACTAATTTATTATTTGATGTAAACAAAAGTAAATAGTTTTAACATTAGTCCAACCTTATTTTAATTTAGAAATCAAAATTTTCTTCAACTTGAGAAATTGCATATACTTTCTTATATTTTAATCCCAAATTATTGCAACCTCAAAAATTAAGGATAAAATAATAGAAATTGACTTTTTATTAAGGGCCTGTTTGGTAGTGCTTCCAGGAATTTTAGCTTTTTGATACTATTCAGTCATCAAAAATTAAAGTCATGATTTTAAATTACATATTTTTATTTGATTAAAATTTAATTTAAAATTTAAAAATTTGTTTTAATAAATATTAATATTTAAATTT